CCCACTGGAGGGTGAGCGGCTGTTTTGTGTGCATGTGTTATTATGTCACAGTTTCAGCTTGGTTCGCTGTGACCTTGGACGAAAGGAGAATGCGATGAGAGAGCTTCGTCACACGCTGCCCTCCAGGAGAGAGAGCCAGGCAACGGTCCAAAGCCCAGCAACCTCCCTTCCTCCACATCTCTCTCTCTGTCTCTCATTCTCTCCGGTTCCTTTTACCCATGGTAAGGGAGACAGCTGTCTCCATCACCATGGCCTCTCAACCCTTGAGAGGCCAGCTTTCTCCCATCGTGTGATGCCCCACAAACAGCGGGCACTCGGGTGGGATGTGTGTGCGGGCTTTCCAAGTGACTGAGCCATCTTCCTCTGGCTTGTCGCCTCAAGTTAAATCAAGTTTTTCGGGGCTGCCCTTATATAACAAGATATGTGGTATCTTTTCTGAGAAGACAGAGATGGTAGCCCTGATGACCGGCCCAAGGAACTAAGGCCTAGTTTCAGACAGATGTGGCCAGTGCTCAGATTGGATTTCATCACTTTGAATGGCAAGTAGGGCATCCATGATTGAATGTCGTCCTACATACCGTGTTCCCCCGAAAATAAGACAGGGTCTTATGTTAATTTTTGCTCCAAAAAAACGCATTAGGGCTTATTTTCAGGGGATGTTTTATTTTACAGTCATGTCACCTTCTTCTGGTTGCTGCACAATGGTGGAAGGTGGGATTTCACTTTGTTGAGTTGTTAAGTTATGTCTGACTTTTTGTGACCCCATGGACCAGGCCCTCCTGTCTTCCACTGCCTCCCGGAGTTGGGTCAAATTCATGTTGGTCGCTTTAATGACACTGTCCAACCATCTCCTCTGTCATCCCCTTCTCCTCCTGCCTTCACACTTTCCTAACATCAGGGTCTTTTCCAGGAGTCTTCTTAATTGGGGCTTATTTTTGGGGTAGGGCTTATATTATGAGCATCCTGAAAAATCCTCCTAAGGGCTTATTTTCAGGTTAGGCCTTATTTTCGGGGAAACAGGGTATGTACAAAAAATGTGCCTTATCTTAGAAGACCAGCAGTTGGACAGAAGAAAGTTGGCCTGGACTACTTTGATAAGCAAGTTTTCTATGTGAGAGATTACCCCATCAAACACATTTGCAAGAAACAGGCATAACAGTTCACCCCCATCTTTGGAACCTGGAACAGCAGAGTCCACAGACATGTTTATTTGCTGTTTATATGAACTAGGCCACCAAGCATGGACTCTAGAGGAATGAAGTTACATGTGTTTCTCTTGGGTTCGCATGTCCTTCTCAACTCTAGAAGGATGAGAAGGTCTTGTGGAATTACGAGAAGGTTGGGGACCACTGCTCTAGAGGAGTGAAGTTACATGTGTTTCTCTTGGGTCCCCCTGTCCTTCTCAACTCTAGAAGGATGAGAAAGTCTTGTGGAATTACGACAGGAGACTCATTTCCCTGGTCTTTTCTTTCACTTCTACAAATAAATTGTAGGCATTTTTAGAAAACACACCTTCATGTTTAACTCACCTTTAGGAGTGGAAAAAAAATGGCCTAGCTGATTAGTATACGGAGGCATAATTCTGGCAATTCTAGAACATAAATCTATTGAATTTCTCTCTAGGGTTATAGATAGTGCTTTTTTCCTGCTTTTTAAAAAAATGTGAATCGCTGAGTATTGAGTCTGCCTATAGTCTTTCCATCCCGAAACACCTGTAATCCTAGATGTAGGAATTGAGTTTGTTGTTAACTGGAGACAAGAAAAAAGATCTCTTTGCATGATCCGCTGCAGTCATGTATTCACTATTACTCTGCTTGCTCCAGGGCTGATCCTTGACATTAAAAATAGGCCCCCAACGAGCTGCCACTATATAATGAATCCAAAACAATTGACAATAACCAGCCTCTGGAAAAGTTGTTTTTGGACAACAGCTCCTAGAATTCTCCAGGCAGTATAGTCACTAGCCATGTTTCCCTATGGAGTTCTGAGAATTGGATTTGGGGGGGGGGGGAAGCTTTTACAAACTCAATGTGTTTGATGGGGTAATCTCTCTTGCTCACACATCTTTCTTTTGTGTTAGCCATTTGGAGGATTGTCAAGGGGGAACTTGCGTAACCCTTCATTCTTATTGGATGTGTGTCATGTTCCTAGCTGTGACTAGAAGCCTATTATCTCCCCAAAGGAAAGCACCCACAATCCTCTCTTCCTTTTGGAAGTGTTTACTTTCTTAGTTCCCATTGGAAACCTATTCCTTTGGAAATGAATCACCAGTGTGGCCTTAGGGAGGGCTCAGGTTGAGGTTCTTGACTAGTATACAGTGGTGCCTCGCTTAACGACAATAATCCGTTCCAGGAAAATTATTGTTAAGCGAAAACGTCGTAAAGCGAAATTAAAAAACCCATTGAAAACCGTTCAATGCATTCCAATGGGCTAAAAACTCACCGTCCAGCGAAGATCCTCCATACGGTGGCCATTTTCAGTGGCTGAGTGAAGTGAGGAATCTGTCCCTAAGTACAGCGGGGAGCCATTTTAAGCACCCGGTGGCCATTTTAAAAACCTGACGATCAGCTGTTTTTGATCATTGTAAAGCAAAAATCGGTTCCCGAAGCAGGGAACCGATAATCGCTGAGCGAAATCCCCACATTTAGACCATCATTTTATGATCCCAATTGCGATCGCAAAAACATTGTCGTAAAGTGGATTCGCCGTAATGCAGGGCAATCGTTAAGCGGGGCACGACTGTATATCTCTGCCTACTGTAAGATTGTGTGTATGTGCATGACTGTGGCTGAATGCTTGCACTCTTCTCTCTTGGACTTTGATTGGTTAGATCTGATCCTATTCAGAGGATCACCAAAGTGCAGGAAGAGGAAAAATTCAGCACTCACATTGTCTTCTTTGCTCACATATGAGGCAGGTTTTGTGTACATAGTTTCAAATGACAGATATAAAAACATTTTTTTCATAAGAGTTAGTGTTTTGGAGTAGACTGAATTCCAAAGTCTTGCTTCCCGACTGCATGGGTGAACCAAAACACCTTTATTTGGGCTGCATTAGGTTTGGGGGTGTATTGGTGATTCTTATTTCAGCTGGAGGACTCCCCCCCCAAAAAAAAATACATGTATGCAGGATCATAAAGTGAACATCAAAGGTTCAATAACTAGCTGAGAGCAAGAAGCAAAGAGAGAGGAGAAGAGAGTAGAATCTTAGGAAGGGAAATGCATCATAAAAATGTAAATGGTACTTTCTTTTTTCCCTCCTCTTTCCTCTTATTCTTCACGTGTTCTTTCTTAAATGGAAATAGTAAGGCAAGAATTATCACACTATTTGTCTTTGTAAGCTGCGTTGGCAGCTGCTGTGGCTGAAGGGCAGGCTATAAATGCCAGTCCTGTCTGATTTTGGATGCTAAGTCGGGCTGGAGTTGCTTCGTATTTGGATGGAAAGTCTTTAGGGAATATCCGGCATTTTCAGGTAGAGCTAGAAAGGCATTCTGCCTGAATACCTGGGAAACCATTTCCTATGTTCTTCTGAAAATATTTGTGACATTATTACTCCTACTACAAAACAACAACAACAACAACAACAACAACAACAACAACAACAACAACAACAACAACAACAACAACAACAACAACAACAACAACAACAACAACAACAACAACAACAACAACTTCTTGCAGCCATCCAGAATAGGGATGGTGCGAAGTCTCCCTGACCTGACCCAGTCTATGTGAAAATAAAGGGCACACAGAGCAGACCTGACCCATCCTGTACCCTTTTGGTGGAACTCTGACCTGACCCTTTTCTGGGTCAGTGATATTATTAGTGGCTTTCCAGAATTCCATTGGGGGGGGGAATATATATTCCCACAATTGGGGAAAATGTGAAAAGCTTAGGTTTTGGATGGGAAAGAGGGCTACACAGCATAATCAATTTTGGGGTATTTGGTAGACATGAGCCTTTTCCTTCCACCTGTTGACGAGCTCCCTTCAGAGGCCAATAAGCAGTGGGATTTCCATCAGCACAAGAAAAAGAGAAAAAAGACAGAGTTACGGGGAGGAAAGACACCCTAGTGCATTTATTCACACCTAGCCACTCAAAGCCCAAGTGAGATGCATCCAGGCGTTCAGCCACAGTCACACCCATGCACTCAATCCTATAGCAGGCAGGAAACAGAGAGATATACTGCTCAAGAACCTCAGTCTGAACCCTCCCTAGTGTCTCACTGGTTCTACGGGGAATTTTGGGGGCTTTATTGTGGATTCAGTTGTCACTCAACTTCTCCTTTGACACAAGCAACTCATTCTACTGATGCTATGCATTGCTTTTCTGTTTCCGTAGTTCTATTTTCTGGGCATCTTAGGTTAATTTAAAAAAAAACTCCACTAATACCAGATGAACCATGAAAGCTGTATGATGTGTTACTCTACAACCAAAGTGTTACTCTACAACCCCGCTCTTTGCTCCATCTCATAGTCTCCCCAAAATTGCCTGATTTAGTCAGTTATTACTAATTTGTCCAAAGAGAGTACACATCCTTAGTTTTGAACATGGTCTGCAAAAAGCGGTAAAGTTAGTGTGTGTGCGTGTATGTGCATGCATGCATTTGCAGGAAAAGTAGCAGGTTGGGGATTTGGATACAGAAGGTTTCAGTTTTAAGACTAAGCATCTCCAGAAAGGACGAAGAAAGAATTCTTTCTGTCTAAAACCCCAGGAAGCCATGACTGTGGCCAATTGGTGTGGGCAATACTGAACGATATAACCTGACAATGTCAGTATAAGACAGCTTCTTCTGCAGCTAAGGACCTGCTTCTCCTCTGACTAGGGTCCTCCCACCTGCTCTTTGCTCTGGAGAAGTACATGCCTAGGTAATATGTAGCCCAGCACTTAGTATGTTCGGAAATAGAAGAAAATAGGTGGAAATGGCAAGTGTCGTTTTGGCATTTTGGACAAGGGAAGGCAAACGTTGTTCTAACTCATGTCAAAAATGTCTCTTGTAGGCCAAAGACAGTGACGATGAGGAAGAGGTGGTGCACGTGGACCGAGACCATTTCATGGATGAATTCTTTGAGCAGGTAAGAGGAGAGGCACTGTCAAAGACATACATAGAAAAGAGTACAAAGGCCTTGTGGACAGAAGACACCAGCAGATTGAGGGAGAAAATATCAAATTTGATAACAGTTGCATGCTTTCAAAAGTGTTGTTTGCTTTCGGATACTGGTAAGACACAAACATTTTTAAGGAAGAATTGGCACCTAAGGGAATAGAAAACTGGCATGCAAAATCTCTGAAACTACAATACGAGACCAACATCTAAGCCATCCTTGATACATTTTTTTATACTTGTATGATCAGGCTTATTAAAGGAGGTTAATATCCTTTGCGTAAGTAAGCCCAAAATGCTACGCATCTCAAATTTGGGTTTTCAGATTTCTGGAAATAATCTGAAGTTGAGATTTGAGTGAAACAGCCATATGCAAATCTAAAATGTGTGAGGTAACATTTTCTAAAATAGACAAGTGGAGTTTCCTGATCGAGATGAAATATGTATGCATATATATGAATAGCAACTGCTGAGGATAGACATCAAGTGAGGGATATCACCTTCATATCCTATTGGAAGGCTTTCATGTCTTTTCCTTTCTCTCCTCTGGAGTCAGTATGCTGTGTCTCAGAAACTGGTCCAGCAGAGATTTTTGTAGGCTCTTGGTGTGCTGTCGTTTAGCAGGGATTTTGCTCATGCCTGGTGTGTCAGATACGAGGCATTTAATATGCAACAGCATCTTAAATGGGAAGTCCTCGCCTTTGACCATCAATCCCACTTTGGGCTTCTAAAGTCTCACCCCATTTTGCTCAAACATTTCCATGGCTTATCTCTGTTTTCTTAGGGCCTGGAAGCTTGCCTTTGTAAGATGCGAACCCGTATGTCTCTGTTCTGAACAAAATTCTGTACAGTGGCACCTCGACTTGCAAACTTCATCCGTATTGGAATTAAGTTCGCAGATCGAAAAGTTTGCAGGTTGAGTCAAACTTTTCGCATTGGAATGCATTGAAAACCATGTAATCCATACCTGCTGTTTTCTGTTCGTAGGTCGAGGCTCTGTTCATAGGTAGAGGCATTAGTTCCCATAGGAACTAATGCAAAGCCGGTTAATCCATTCTCTACCACTAGGGGGTGAATTTTTAATTTTTTTCTTATTTTGACAAAAAAACGGCAGGAAAGTTTTTTTTCTTTTTCTTTCTTTCTTTCTTTCTTTTTTTCTTTCTTTCTTTTCCTTTTCTTTTTGCGGTTCGTAAGTCAAAGTCTTTCTTTCTTTTCCTTTTCTTTTTGCGGTGCGTAAGTCAAAGTTCCGTTCACAGGTCGAAGCGACTTTTTGCGACCGAAGCCGTTCGTAACTCAAATTGTTCTCAAGTGGGGGCGAATGCAAGTCGAGGTACCACTGTACTTGTGGATTGTGTTTGCGCATAAATCGAATGCATACAGCTCTGGACCCTTGGAAGCCACGGCAGATATTCTGGTATTGATGTCTTTTGTTTAGCATGACAAATGCCAGAAGGAAATGCACGGCCACCTGCCAGATTTTGCTTCCTTTCCAAAGAGACATCAAGAGACTGCCCTACATGAAACCAAGCCCTATGAGTACTGGAAACCAAGGCCTAATGCTTGAAAGGCTGTCATACCAAGGAGGGGCAGGTTCTGTTCTCCATCATCCCGGAGTGCAGGACACATAATAATGGCTCAAGCTAAAGGAAGCCAAATTTAGGCTGAACATCAGGGGAAAAAATTCTCAACTGTTAGAGCAGTATGACAAAGGAACCAATGGCCTCAGTGGGTGGTGAGTGCTCCAGTGCTGGAGGCATTCAAGAGAAAACTGGACCACCATCTGTCCAACCTGGTTTGATTTGGATTCCTGTGCTGAGCAGGACTGGATGGCCTTATAGGTCCCTTCTAACCCAATTATTCTATGATTCTCTAATACATTGGGGTGATTTGTTGACAATCCCCAGGCTGAGTATCACTTTTGCCGAGATGAGCTACATGTGGTCTACAGCTCATAGCTATCCTCCTGGTTTTGCAAAATCTGGAACAATTAGAACTATTCATTACATAAAATAGCGATAGAGGTAGACATTACATTAAAACAAGGAGATTCACATCCCTGGAAGTCACCTTTTAAATAACCTGTGGCTCCCCGGAGCTTGTTCCACTACCCCATGTGTTTTAAAAAATGAAACCAGAGTTGCTGCCACTGCTCATTTCCATTTCAAGGACTGGGGTACATCCCAAGCATTGGGCAGAGGGCTCAGCAAAGTTTTCCACCCCTCTATAGTTTTAATCCAAGTTTATCAAAAAAAAGTTTCCCAAGATGTGAAACACAAATAATATTACAAGTGGTGCCTCGCTAGACGATGATGATCCATTCCACTGAAATCACTGTTTAGCGAAATCATTGTCTAGCGAAAAGCATTTCCCCATTGGAATGCATTGAAACCTGTTTAATGCGTTCCAATGGGGAAGAATCGTCGTTGTCTAGTGAAGATTGATCATAGGAAAGCCGCTTTGTAAACCGCCAATCAGCTGTTTAAATTGCTTTCTTGCGAAGCTTAGGTCCCAAATACACCTGTTTTGCAAGCACAGAGGGAGCTGTTAAAATCGTCATCTAGCAAAAATCAGTTTGCGAAGCAGGGACAAAACATTTCCAGCGAAATTCCCCCATAGGAATCACTGTCTTGCGAATCGCTATAGCGATCGCAAAAAGTCAATGTCTAGCAAAAAAACTGTCATGCAGGGTGACTGTCTAGCGAGGCACCACTGTAGTAGGTTTTGGGTCTTTAAAGCCAGGCTTATCCCATTTATTTAAAAAACAGGTCAGAGATCAGAGGCATGCAAATGAGAGGAGTTAACCCCTGACCTGTATCTTAGCTCCCCTGAGCTCTTCCCTGAGGCGTCCCCCCACAGCTATGCATGGGAAAAGATGGCAAGGAGTTAAGCAGTGGGCGTGGAAACTTCACTATCGGCTTGTTTCCTCTCATCTGAACATCCGTTTCTTTCTTCAGATTGGAGCTATGCGCATGCGCACCAATGTTTCTCAAATGTGACAGAGGCAGACGTGGTCTATAATTAGACCATACTGCATCAGTGACGAGTAGTTTGAATCTAGTTTTCAGTTGTGAGGGGCGGAAATGGGTTCAGTTGGGTTTTGTGTGTGACAGAAAGATTCCACAACTTAATGTGAGCTCTTTTGTGGGGGGACTTCCCATGTCACAGCCAAGCTATTCCTCAGCGCAGTTACCTCTAGCAGGAAGTCCATTTTCTGCTAGATAGCTCTGACGTGATTTTTAACATCTGGAGATTCCTTGAGGGGTGGGTTTGTGCAGCAAAATACACTTTCCAGCGATTGTGTGGAAAATAAAATGGCCACCAAAGATACAAAAGTTGGTCATCCTTGCATTTCTTACCCTCTCCCTGTTAGTTCATCCTCCTTTGTAAAGGAGGTGGCAGATGCTACCGGTGGCCTGAATTAACTCCTGTTTCAACACGTGTGTGGGATCTGCTTGAGAGCTAAGCTCATGAATATTCAAACACAAGACATTTAATATGCGACAGCATCTTTTAAGGATGCTGCATGATGTGCACAAGTACTGGAAGTTGAAGGATGATGGGAAAGCCACCGGGATGGTAGCCCCCAACAGCTGTGCAATCTGTATTTGTCTGTCAACTATTGTTCAAAAAGGGCGCACCCCAGAGAAACCTGAATGTTTCTGTGAAGTTGTATTACAGTGTGATTTTGCCATCTGCTTTAAATTCAGCCCTCAAACACGTTTATCGTGTTAATGTGTTGTTCCTGTCAGAAGCCATACCATTTGCCTTTCAAATATTCAAGATTCAGATTCAAATATGTGATGTGATATTTGATCAGACTGTAATATCTGAAGTGAATTTCTGAGATATTCACCTTTCCCCCTCATTTTAGTGATAAAGCTAGAAAGACGTATTCCTCACAGTGCTACATTGGGAAAGATGCAAATAGTATGTCTTGAAGTGATTATGCTTTTCAAGAGGAAGCAATATTGTCCCTCAGGAAGACTATTCATCAACTTTTCTCTCTTAGTGAGAAACCTTTTGCCACCTCACCTCCAAATTCTGCTCTAAATTAAACAAACGTGCCCATCATCCTTCAAATAAGCATGCACATTGTATTGTTTCATGTAAAATCACCAAATGTAGTTCCATTCCACTGGAGTCCAAGATTCTCAACATTCTTACATTTTTTTGTGTGTGTGGACCTCACTCATCTGAGACTAGTGTGAATTGTAGCCTGTGACCACTTAGGCACAAACTCTAATGACCATTTAAACCTGTGTCAGTCCAGCAATATGTAGAGTGAAGGCTGCGATCTCTGGTTTTCACTGTAAAAAAGGGTATGTGAGTGGTAGGTGCTAAACCAGTGGTTTACCCATCCATCCTTAAATCCTATTTTCAAATGTCTGTCTTCTCTAGCAGTGCACCAGTCTTGGAAATGTGCCCACTTAGGGGAAAAAAACCATTGAAAAGGGGAAGCTCTGGGGACCTAAATAGGGGCATACAAGGGATTGAGAAACTCTTATGGGGAAAAAAACCATTGAAAAGGGGAAGCTTTGGGGACCTACAAGGGATTGAGAAACTCTTACGGACTCTATAAATCTGCCATCTCACATCCCACTTGGCGGAGTGTGCAGACCGGCTTTTCGGTTTCACATGTAGCCAGAGGCCAAGGGGTCGCGGTACCCATTTGCTACACAGTGTGCATGATTTCAGTGTGAAGCAAAATCTAGACCAAGCCAAGCATGGGACATGAAGGATGCAGCCCCTTGCTTGGTGGCTGGTTTCAGGACCTTGGAGAGAGCCTCTGCTTTGCTTGAGGTTCAAACCCCTGTTGCTGCGCAGCGCTCTCTGGTGCTTATGTGGGGTAATGCAGCTATTTAACTGCCTGAAATTCTTCAGGACCCTGCCAGAAGCATTTGAAGAACATTTAAATTGTCCAGCAGCCTTAGACTACTCCAGATCTGACAAATATGTTAGGGATTTCTTGTGGGTTTATGTGCTTCAGCTTAAGTATGGAGCCTTTCAGCTTGCCCCAGAGTCTCCCTCTGTCTCAGCCCTGCAGCTTGTCTGAGGCTTCTTTCGGTAGCTGTGGCCATCTCTACTTAGCCCCTGTTCCTCTTTATGCTGGAACTTTTAATCTCTTTTTTATCTCTGCGTGTGAAGGAGAAGTGTGTGGATACATACATACGCGGATTCATGTGAGTGAATGGAGGGAAGGAAGTGGATAGACAGATGGGTGAACAAATTGGTTAATGCAGTGGTTCTCAGCCTTGTTCCAGGTGTTCTCGGACTACAACTCCCAGAAACCTTAGTCAGCACAGTTAGCGATGAAGGCTTCTGGGAATTGCAGTCCAAGAACTGCTGTGTTACAAAGTTGGAAACCAGTGGGTTAATTGAAGTGTGTGATATGGGGAGGGGGGTGAATATTTGTTGATAACAGGATGTGTATGAATGGGGAAGAGAAGTTGGAAATGTTATATTTAGACTACAGATCCCAGTATCCTCCAACCACTATAGTTAGTGGTCTTCCAGTGGAGGAATTTGGGAGACAGTTATTCAGAAGGGTATCTAACCTCTGACTGGTAAGGAGTGCATGGATGGAGGGGGTGGATGGGGATGTGTGTTTGTTCCCATGAATGGGGGAGATAGTTTACATATCACTTTGAGGGCTATGTGGTATCCCACGCTAAAAGACAGCTCCTGGATCTTTGTCCATGAGAAATTTGGCCCCAAAGTTGCAAAGGTTTTCTGGCTGCTACATTTAGTGATCACCTTTGTCTCCAAATGGGAGATATTATTTCTGTGAAGGACAGAAGCACTTTGTTAAACAAATCTTATGAACAGAGAAACCGAAGAGCCGAAGAGATGCCCATGAAGGCGCTCGGTCAACATTGCTAGTGTGTACAATTGACGGGGGCAACTCTGGGCCAAGATGCTTGTTATTTATCAGATTGTGTGAATGTTTGCCCTCTGCAACTGCAGTATGAGAGCCATCCAGTCTGTGTCTCTGTGTATTCTGGACCAGGTGGAGGAGATCCGCGGCTGTATTGAGAAGCTCTCAGAGGATGTGGAGCTGGTGAAGAAGCAGCACAGTGCCATCTTGGCTGCCCCCAACCCGGATGAGAGTAAGTGAGACCACACACCCTGGCACACCATAGGCTTATGGTCAGTGACACTGTTCTGTGTGCTTGCATGCGATGCCTGCTGCCCAAGAGGCAATATGCACCAAATATATATGCAGAGATGTTTCACCAGATCCTGTGGGAGGATAAGAGACATACACCCAATGCCTGGGAAAACACTGCAACCATCTCTTGGGATTGCCCTAAGACACCTGTTTTGTTTTTTGTATTCTGCTTGCAGAGACCAAGCAGGAGCTGGAGGACTTAACAGCTGATATCAAGAAGACTGCCAACAAGGTGCGCTCCAAATTGAAAGGTAAGATCCATGGTGGCAATAATAAAGAGTGACCGAGTGTTAACTGATTTTCTCCTCCACCTTCTCTTTCTTCATGCCATCATTAACATCGTGCTTTTGGTCTGCAAAGCCCTTTATTGTATTATCAGAATAATCCTTACAAAAACTGTCTGGCAGGCCCATATTGTTGCAGACGCTGGATTAGGATAGAGCTGCAAGGTTACAGTACAATACACCTGTGGGGGACCGGTTCCAAGCCCCCCCACCCCCGGCTGATGCTAAAAAAATGTGGAAATATCAAATACGATACATTGCATGGTCCCTGCCTCCCTCTAGTATCCAGTTCTGCTAACTACACCATGGAAATATATAAAAATATGTATTTCTGTGGTTTTTTATTTAGAGTTTTCTGGCAGCTAGTAAGTGAATCAATGGATAAATATCTCCTAGACAGGGGCATCCTAATGTAATTAGTTTGCATACATTGAGAGCTAAAAGAAACTTGGACCCAGGAATCTTCATGATAGCATAGATGGTTAGCCACATTGGCATTGGGTCACATGTTTTGACATAGAATAGAGGCTGGGAGTCCAGGGAAGATACAGTTGCTGAAATCCTGTTGCACCTTCTATGCAAACGGTGTAGCTTCTGGAGGAGAATTATCTCAAGTTAAGACATTTCTGTAGACATTATCTATTGCGTATTGAGTCCAGCAACTCAGCACGAAATACATCATGTCTATGGAGACTTCTTAACTTGAGGCAACTTACTTTGAAATGCTCCACCTTTTGTATGGCAGCACAACAGGATTTTGGCCGATGTGTCATTATTGGCAATACAGAGAGAGAGAGACAGAGAAAGGCTCTTCCCACTTGCGCACCGGAGAAGTGTGGGGCTGTTCCAGTTGATTTGTAAAACTATTTTATTTGGAGGAAGAATGAATTTGCAGGGCAAGGGTGTGAAATTCATTGCCACTCACAGCTCCTCCTCGCAGCTGCTGAGGAGGCAACATTGCTGCAGTGTAAATAATGCCATATAAAATTAAAAATCTTCCCCTCACTTAACCTCTGGGATTTCACACTCAGAATTGTTTGCAGCAGGCTTGGAAAAAAAACAGAACACTAGTGAGAAAGCACCTTTTATGCCATTGAATGCTTTAATTTTTGGGAACCCCAGGATTTGATAATAAGATTTACATGAGGGGATTTCAAACAGTATTTCCATGTAACTTATCTATGCAGCCCATTACACACACTTCTTGCTGCGATGTATATATAGCACAAGGTGTCTATATAGGAATTGGGGTAGGACTCAATGGTGGTTCATTTACATAAGAACATGAGAAAAGCCCTGCTGGATCAGGCCAAGGGCCCATCTAGTCCAGCTCCCTGTATCTCACAGTGGCCCCACCAGATGCCTCTGGGAGCACATGAGACAACTAGATACCTGTCTCCTGATACCGTCCCCTGCAGTTGGTATTTGGAGGTACCTCCCTTTTAAGCCTGGAGATGATACATCCCCATCATGGCTTGTAACCTGCGATGGACTATTCCTCCAGAAAATCTGTCCAATCTCCTTTTAAAGGCATCTAGGCCAGATCCCATCACTACATCCTGTGGCGTGGAGTTACAGAGACTAACAACACTCTGGGTCAAGAACTATTTTCTTTTGTCTTTTCTCACTCTCCCAACACTTAATTTGAGTGGGTGTCCCCTGGTTCTCATTTTGTGTGAGAGGGAAAAGAGCTTCCCTCTATCCACTTTATCCATCCCCTGCATAATTTTACATGTCTCAATCATGTTCCCCCCCGCATACACCTTTTCTCTAGACTAAAGAGCTCCAAACTTTGTAGCCTTTCCTCATAAGGGAGGTGCCCCAACCCAGTCATCATTTTAGTTGCTCTCTTCTGCACCTTTTCCAGTTCCACAATGTCTTTTTTGAGGTGTGGCGAGCAGAAATGTATGCAATACTCCAGGTGTGGCCATTGTACAACAGCATTATAATGTTGGCTGTTTTATTTTCAATCCCCTTTTTAATGATACCTAGCATGGAACTGCCCTCCTTCACTGCCGCCGCACACTGAGTAGACACTTTCCTTGAGCTGTCCACCAGCACGCCAAGATCTCTTTCCTGATCTGTCAAGGACAGCTCAGAACCCATCAGCCGATAAATAAAGTTTTGTTTTTTTTCCCCAATGTGCATTACTTTACATTTTCTTATACTGAAATGCATTTGCCATTTTGCCACCCATTCTCCCAATTTGGAGAGATCCCTCTGGAGCTCTTCACAATCCCTTCTGGTCTTTACCACCTGGAAAAGTTTTGTGTCATCTGCGAACTTGCCCACCTCACTGCTTATCCCTGTCTCCAGGTCATTGATCAACAGGTTGAAAAGCACCGGTCCCAGGAGAGATCCCTGGGGCACACTGCTCTTCACCTCTCTCCATTGTGAAAATTGCCCCTTGACACCTCCTCTCTGTTTCCTGGTTCTCAACCAATTCTCAATCCATAAGAGGACCTGCCATCTTATCCCCTGACTGTGGAGCTTTTTCAGCACCCTTCGATGAGCGACCATGTCAAATGCCTTCTGAAAATCCAGATAGACAATGTCCACTGGTTCGCCCACCCCCACATGCCTGTTGACCTTTTCAAAGAACTCTAAAGCATTTGTGAGGCAAGACTTGCCCTCACAGAAGCCATGCTGATTTTCCCTCAGCAAGGCTTGTTCTTCTGTGTGTTTTTTCAGATTTAATCTTGGATGAGGCATTCCACCGTCTTCCCTGCAACAGACATTAGGCTAACCAACCTGTAGTTTTTCGGGTCCCCCCTCCTTTTCTTTTTAAAGATTGGTGTGACATGTGCTATCCTCCAGTCCTCTGGCACTGTGGCCACTTTAAGGGACAAGTCGTATAATTTAGTTAAGAGATCAGCAACTTCATTCCTCAGTTCCTTAATAATCCTTGAGTGGATGCCATCTGGACCCAGTGACTTATTAATCTTCAATTTATCGATTGAGTCTAAAATATCTTCTCTTTTAAGAGCACTCATCCATGGGTCCCACCTTTTAAACCACATTCACAATGCTTCTTATTTCTTTAACTCTGGGCTCTTTACCTTTTTCATCTTCCAGCAATTGAGCAAGGGATTGAACAGGAAGAAGTGCAGAACCGATCTTCTGCTGACCTGCGGATCCGGAAAACACAGGTATTCTGCATTATATTTGTCTTGACTAAATGTTTTCTGTCTCTTTTTGTCCTCTCTTATTTTATTTTTTTAATGGTTTGGTCTTTCCATGCACCTCGCTTATCTAGAATTGAGATGAACAAGCTTGGATTTATTAATTGTGATTTAAGTGTTACGTGTCATCTTCTTATGCTTCTTCATGCTGGCATGAATATCTCTTCTCAGCTGGCACCTTCTTATAAGGAAAAAATGATCTGGAATGGAAAGCATCTTTCATCAGTTTTTATAATCAGATGCTCATACATCGTAGCATGCATCAGCTTTAGAAGAGGCATTCCTTTTTTCATTCATATAAAGACAAATTCTTTTCTAGAATTTGGCTTGCCATCTCTGGAATTTAAAAAAAAAGAAAAGAGAGAGAGAGAGAGAGAGAGAGAAAGAAAGAAAGAAAGAAAGAAAGAAAGAAAGAAAGAAAGAAAGAAAGAAAGAAAGAAAGAAAGAAAGAAAGGAGGGAGGGAGGGAGGACAGCTTGTTTTGGGACTTTTTAAAAAATGATCAATCCAGCAAAGCACTTTACAAAACATTGCCTTTCCCTGGTGTAGAGATGCTATTTTCCCCCTGGCCGAGAAAGCTGCCTTTGTTTGAACATCTCCCTGGACTGTATTTTGGCCACTGCTGCATCTGCTCCCTGCTATATTTCATAATTTATTTTGTTCCATTTCCTTTTACTACTAAACCTATTCAAGTCCCACCACCACCACCAAAGGCCTGATCAGTTTGCAGTGTCAACCAGGTGTTTGGGCATATATCTGAGAGTAAATATTTTGCATGAGAATTCCTTTTCTCCATTTCATTTAACCTCAGTAATCAATAGATCAGGCCTTGCAATGAGACAAAGAAGTGGAGAAAGGGAGGGCCCTCTCTCTCTCTCTCTCTGCCCTTCCCCTGTGACATGACTTGTCTCTCCATTTCATTGGCCAGCACTCAACCCTCTCCCGCAAATTTGTGGAGGTGATGACGGAATACAACACAACCCAGTCCAAATATAGAGACCGATGCAAGGACCGTATCCAGAGACAGCTGGAGATAAGTATGTTTTTCATGTTTGCATTCCTTTTGCGAACATTTCCAAAATGGCTCAATTTCTTAAAAGGAAAAAAACCCCACACAAACACACTTTTCCCTCCTTAGCAATTGAGAGTCTGGCCAGTTGGATGCAAATCATCCGAAGTCATTGGGCTGGTGCAGAGGGCAACAGATCAGGGGTTAGAAAGTGCTGTAGAGAGTTTGCATACAGTCAGTCCAAAGTTCAGTCCCCAGCCTCTCCAGGTGGGGTTGAGAAATTTCCACCTGAAGCCTAGAACAGCTGCTGCCAGCTGGAGTTAGCAACACTGAAGTAGATGAACCAATTATCTGACTCAGTATAAGAATGATTGGGTTTTATCTTCTTGCCAAAAAGAGTGTGAGCTGAATGTAGGGACACATTATGAGTAAGAAGGAATAGAGCAACCCAGAACATGTAGAGGGTATGTTTTCATTTAATTTAAGCCATAACAGTAAACTCTGAAGGGTGGGTGTTCAAGAGGATGGGTATTTGTTTGCAAAGAGTATACGTTCCAGGCATGAATAAATGCTGGTACCTGTGAAGGTACCTGGAGGGGGAGCAACCACAATCCAAAGCATCCTCAGCTTTTGATGGTTGTTGTTTTTGAAACCAAATACTTCCTTCCTATCTCTGGCAGCAACTGCCTTTGCCTAACAGGGAAGTATAGCTGCTGCTAAATTTAAAGCTAGGTGTGCTCTCTGATAGCCATGTAGAGATAGCTCTTCCTCTACAGTGAAGCTTAAGGCAAGCAACAAGCAAGGATGCCCTGAAAGACTCTCTTAACTATACTGCCGGCTGCTTGAGTTCTGCTCCCTTCTGTGGGGTTTGGAAACAAGCCGAAAGAAACACAAATGTCCTCAGTTCCTTGTCCAGTGTGATAGTATGTGAATCAGCAGGGAGGCCGCATTTACTGCCATATGTTGTTGCAGAAAAAAGGGGCCACTGAACTGCAGCATGGGGTGATTTATCATGGCTCTGACCTTCCTTCCTTGCAGCTGGCAGAACAACAACCAACGAAGAGTTAGAAGACATGCTGGAGAGCGGAAAGCTGGCGATTTTCACGGATGATGTACGTATCTGATTCGAAGTTGCTTCCTTCTTGCGTTCCTTGGGGTGCTCATTTCACTGGGCACCCTAACCAAGATGCAGCTCAGGTAGCGCGTCCAACTTATCAGGGTTTCAGACTTTGCTCTCCTGTAGTTTAAAGCTGAGGACAAGACAGTGTTGGCCAGATGCCGGGTGTTCTGCAAGGAACTCATGTTGGGTTTCCCCAGAATGTCTAGACTAGGGTTATGGGGATGGGGGTCAGAATACAGTAACTAAAGCCAAGGAGACGAGGGAATGAAAGGAGGAGAAACTGGAATGCAACAAACCCTTCCATAGAAAATTCCATCGTTTAACAACGGCATAATCCACAAGTTTTCAAAATCTTCCTGATAGGTGTGGGGTCTAGAAATGTATCAGTCTCTTTTTAAAATTTCTAGGTACCATATTCCACAACTGTGCAGGTTTACCTGCTATTTTATTTACAATTTTGTGTTAACAGTCAATATCAGGGACTTGGAAAAGTGACTTCCTGCACCATGGGCCATTCAGTGGCCATACTAGCTAGAGGATTGTGGTACTTGTAGTCCAAAAGAGGAAGTCTCCCAAGCTCTGGATTCTTTACATTGTAGGACAAGGGTGTCCTAGGAGAGGAAGGAATTCTAAAGTCTTTGTTTAGAACTAAAATCCTGTCTTTTGGTCTGCATCCTGCCTTTCCCTTCAGATCAAAATGGACTCACAGATGACGAAGCAAGCCCTGAATGAAATCGAGACCAGGCACAACGAGATCATTAAGCTGGAAACCAGCATCCGGGAGCTGCACGATATGTTTGTGGACATGGCTATGTTGGTGGAAAGCCAGGTAGGGATGGCGAGGGAAGCAGGAAGGCACAAAGGCTGTCTTTGAAGACAATTTTGGAAGCACCGGCATACATTCAGCTCAGAACGCCATTGCTAGACTGCTAACAGAGAACAGGAGATGGAATGGTAGCATTCCTGTTTCGGAGTAACTTCCGTGGCTCCGTGTTCTCGTTGAGGCTCAATTCAAAGTGTTGGTGTTTCTCTCTATAGCCACACATGGCTTAGGACCCAGTTTTCTGCTGGATCGTTTTTGTCCTTTAACCGTCCTCTCGTGCTGCGGCATCAATATTGGAGGATCATCTACTGGAGTAATTGCAGCCAGAATTGATATGGCCAGTGAATGAGGGAAAAGAGCCTTTTAGTTTGTAATGCCCTTACTGGGCAAGGTGGCTTCCCTCAGAGCAGGTGTGGGCAATTAATTTCTATAGGGGGGGGCACATGAAAAATCTGAACAGTATTTGGGGGCCGAACCAACTTTACTTAAAAATAAAATGAAGCAGTGATGTTATGATTGTTTTTATTTTAAACTTGTTAATCTTCACAAATACTAAAGAGGTTTTTTTGTGCTATGTTAAAAATCAGCAACTGATCAACTTTAGACGAAAATGGTTTTGATGTTCAAAACTGTCCGCGGGCCGGACAGGAGCGGCTCGCGGTCCGTATGTGGCCCTCGGGCCGCACTTTGCCCAGGTCTGCCCCAGAGGAAGACAGCCCTGGTGTCCAATCTGCTGCCATATTTCAACTTCAGAAGGTTTAAATTTTCAATGTTTTTCTAACAATTTTCTTTTGGAAAAGTCTTTTAGATTATTTCAAGTTTCTGCGATTATTTTGTTGTTATGAGTTTACCTGGCACTGTACTATCAAAGCCAGTGTAAAAAAATTCCCAGTGACTCCGTGTTTGAACAGCAGTCAAGTGGCTGAAAGCCATGGCTATCTCTAATTCTTAATTTTTAAAATCAGCCATCATAGAACTCAAGATTTTGTAGACATTACCCCATCCCCAAACTCTTTCTTTCTCACTGGGAAGTCATTACTGTTCGGGATCAGATGAGGGGAGCTGAAAAATGTTCAGCTGTGAGGAAAATAAAAAAGTTGGTACATAGTCAGAGGCAAATGTTCCATCATTTAGCTCTGACTAAAAAAAAGCCAGTTTCCAGCATTTCGCTTTTGTGTCTTTTCCATTCAAGCTAATTGGTGCTTGTCTTCAAGAGTTTTTGAGGAGTACTTCAAAGCGATGCATGAATTTTTAGGAGTATGCCAGCCAAAACCTGAGTTCAGATCCCCACTGAAGTTCAGAGGGTAATTTTGTGTCAGTTATTATTTATTTTTAAAAAAATATTTTTATTCTACCTTCTCCCTAAAAGGGCCCAAGGTGGCTTGCATCACTAAAAGACAATATTAAAGATAACAGCGGTGGGTATACAAATACTAAAAAGGATCAAACAAATGTCATATAGAAATAAATAAGCAACACCAAAACACATTCGAAGCAGTAAGGTACATTAATCCATTTAAAAAACCCACTTAGGCAGACAGTCACTTAGGAAAAGCCTGTCTGAAGAGAAAGGTCTTTGCCTGCTTGTGGAAGGACAGCGAAGATGAGTCTAGCTTTGCCTTCTGTGGGAGGGAGTTCCACCATCTGGGAGCAGCAACAGAGAAGGCCCTCTCCCATACATCCACCAAACATACTTATGGAGGTGGCAGTCGAGAAAAAGGCATCTCCTGATAATCTTAACACTCGAGCAGGCTCCTGAAGGTAGAGACAGTAAAGTTCTAAATGGACCCAAGTCATTTAGAACTTTATAGGTTAGAACCCACACCCTGAGTTACTATTCTCAATTTTACTCAACTTACAAGGTACTTTGTGAGCGTGGTTAAAGTTTGCTCCTTAGAAGAAGGTGGCGGGAATGACTCTATTAACCATATGCGTTGACCATGTCATTACAGAATTTAATGTGTCATATTCTGCCCTAGTAATTTGTCTCTCCCTCCATTTCAGGGCGAGATGATTGACCGCATTGAATACAATGTTGAGCACTCTGTTGACTACGTGGAAAGAGCCGTCTCTGACACCAAGAAAGCTGTAAAATACCAGAGCAAGGCTCGGAGGGTGAGTGAGAGGAACTGAGATAAGATGGTGACGGGATTGATTTGGGACTAAGACGTTGCGATGCACCGGAGGAAGAAAGGCTGGGAGTAAGGCTGAGTGAGAAGAAGGGGCTGAGAGAAAATGGCCACCGTTAGCAAAATTTAATTTCATAAGGAGTCCGAAGACAAGGGAGATCAAGCAAACAGCAGAAACCAACACAGGTCCAAGAAAAGAAGCCAGGGAGGAAGGGCCTGGTCAGAGATGGCCTTTGATAAGGCCAGAACTTGGTAATATTTGCGCCCCACAGTTCCTCTGCCAGCATGGCATGAGGACCAGGGTATTCTGGAGAACTGCAGTGTTTTCAAACTCTGGTTGAGGCTGAGGTCCTATACAGTTGTGCCCCGCTTATCGATTACCCCGTATAATGATGAATCCGCTTCACGACGATGTTTTTGCGATCGCAATTGTGATAGCAAAATGATGTTTTAATGGGTTTTTTTTACTTTGTGGTGATCGGTTCCCTGCTTCGGGAACCGATTCTTCGAATTACGATGATCGAAACAGCTTTTTTATTTCGCTTGACGATGTTTTCGCTCTACAGTGATTTTGCTGGAATGAATTAACGTCGTCAAGTGAAGCATCACTGTACTTGGGAGTTAGTTAAACTGAACCCATTGGGATTTACTTATAAATAATTGTGTATAAAACTGCACTGGAATTCACTCCTTCAGCTTTCTATCTCTTGATGAGTCATTAAACAAAATGTTCTGACCAATCAGGACTCCAGTTATGCACCTTTTCTAGTTAATATTTTTTGGTTTATGTTTCAGTCCCCCCCCCCCGAGAATTCTAAGGAACTGTTGTTCTTGGACAATTCTGAAGTATAATAAATACAGTGGTACCTCGACTTGCAAACGTCTCCACTTGCAAACGTTTCAAGAAGAAAAAATAAAAACAATTCTTCCCCTAGTGGTAGAGTACGGATTAACTAGCTTTGCATTAGTTCCTGTGGAAACTAATACCTCTACCTATGAACAGCGCCTCAACATACAAACAAAAAACAGCCTGAATGGATTAAATGGTTTTCAATGCATTCCTATGGGAAATCTTGCCTCAACTTACAAATTTTTCGACGTACGAATGCCGTTCCAATATGGATTAAGTTCGTAAGTCGAGGTACCACTGTATAGGAAAGTCTAGACTTGATTAGTGAGGGACAAGATTCTGCTTTGGTTTGTTTATTTAATATTTTTAATTTTTATACTGCCTTTGAGGGACATAATTACATGCTGTCAAGTTAATTCCTACTTATGGAGACATTGCCAGGTGAGGGTTTTGTTTTGTTTTTAGACATAAGTAATTTACCAAGCCTTCCTTCTGGTACTGCTCAAAGACCATGCAGCTTGCCTAAGGCAGCCTATGTGATAGGATGCGTAACCCCATCTGCCGTACATGCCTTAGTTGATTTGGTCTGGCCTCTCATAGGAAACGCCTTTAATTAAAATAATCACAGTAGACCATAAAAATTATAGATAAAAATCCCCCCCAACTTCTATAATAAACTGGACATCTGTAACAAGAAGCCAAAGTTTGATAAAGTGTTTTATTTCTCCTTCTGGTGCTCCAGGAGGGGAAATATGCAAGCTCTTCTCTGGTTATACCCATAGCATTTAGCCAACTTCTTCTGCAGATATGTTGGTCTACAACCCATAATCTCCTAGCTCACTGTGTGGAGACAACAAGGGTGGTGAGGCTGGAGCTAAACCATGGCTCACTGTTGCATATACAGTGGTGCCTCGCTAGACGATGATAATCCGTTCCACTGAAATCGCTTTTTAGCTAAATCATTGTCTAGTGAAAAGCATTTCCCCATTGGAATGCATTGAAACCTGTTTAATGCGTTCCAATGGGGAAGAATCGTCATTATCTAGCGAAGATCGGCCATGGGAAAGCCACTTTGCAAACCACCGATCAGCTGTTTAAATCGCTCTCTTGCAAAGCTTAGGTCCTGAAAACACCTGTTTTGCGAGTGCGGAGGGAGCTGTCAAAATCGTTGTCTAGCGAAAATCGGTTTGCGAAGCAGGGACCAAACATTGTCCAGCGAAATTCCCCCATCGGAATAACTGTTTTGCGAATCGCTATAAGCAAAAAGTCAATGGCTAGCAAAAAAAACTGTCATGCGGGGTAACTGTCTAGCGAGGCACCACTGTAAATATAATCTAATGTATTTTGATGGCTCCTGTGTCTTGGCAAAATTGGTGGCACCCTTTATAAAGCTCAATTTAATCCGTCTTCTTTCTTATCCAAAGCTGTATGCCTGATGCCTTACCACTAATGCCTGTTTGTCTTTCTTTTCCTTCCTCTCTCTTTTCTTTTCCATCTTGCTCCATGGATTTTCTTGGGTAATGTAGAAGAAAATTATGATTATAATTTGTTGTGTGGTTCTTGGTATAGTACTGGCTTCCTCAATCGGAGGCACACTTGGGTTGTAAATTAAAAGCAAAAAAAAAATATAATAATACTAATACTAATAATAATAATTTAAAAAATTGTACATGCAGTGGATATAACAGCACATGTTCCAGCTACCTAGAGATAAAACAACTTTATTGGGTCAGCAAATCTAAGTTTGTTGTTCAACACCATCTCTTCATCCATTTTTTTACTCATTTGCTAGACACCAGGGTTTTGGCTCTGAATTTTCAGATATTTCTGGGCCTCAACCAGGTGTCTTGTAAGTACACCTCCCTGTCCCACTGCACCATGATTCAAAATGTGTAATTCCTACTACACCCCCCACAGATTTCCCCTTTCATATCAACAATTAACCCTGTGGGAAGGTATGGTTCGTGGTATTCTTTGCCTGTTTCACATGGGGAAGGACATAGCCATGGATCAAGTAGTTCACCTCTGACAAGCCACTCCATAACATGAGAGGACAGAGTGTATCCAAAGAAGCACAATACTTCGGTATTAGTACGTACTACAGTATTAGGCGCTGGCAAGGGCCGTAACCTAGTGCACCATTATTTTGAGTTTATTTTGATTGGATATTGCGATAGCAAGTACACAGGTTTCCAGCCTGCTCAGAGAAAAGGAAGGATTCAGTGCACATAGAGACCGTTGCTAATCTTTTCCTTTTCTCAGAGCTCACAGGGAGAAACTCATGCACTCACCGTTCTTGGGTAACATGGACATTGTTTCCAAGAACAGAATTAGTTAAATATATTTTGGTGGTTTTTTTTTAAAAAAAGCAAAGTTTTCATTCTTAGGTACCTGGAAAAAAAATTGAGTAAATAACTCAGGGCACAATCTGTTCATCTGCTGCATCTTCCTCATTTCCTCTCCATCACATTCCCCTTCCACCCACCCACCCCCGATTCTGCAACGGGATTCTCCTGCCAAAGCCCCACCCCTCCTTTCCTATTGGCTAGGAGCAGCACTGGGGAGGGCTGCCCGTGTCTGACAGCATGCTGAAGGTACCAACTGGACCAGCCCCTCAGATATCAAGAGATGCTCCTGTACTCAACAGCATAGTATTCTGGTCACTAGATATAGAGTTACTATCCTTTTAACTCCTCCCTCCCCAAAAAAGGCAAAATATGGAATACAACAGCACAACAACAAAAAATGGGGCATCGATATAATCGAATTTTTAAAAGATCATACGGAGCATTATTGACAATGTTTTATAAAAAATATATATATAAATGCTGCGTATCGATCTGATTTTATTAAGCAGTCTTGGAACAACCAGGAATTTGATTTATGGATAGGGGAAAGGAGAAACCCTATACCGAACCCTCCGAAATACAAGAGCGTTGCAGCCATCTCATCTAAAACTCTCGATTCAAGTAGATTAAGACTAGCCAGTTGAGATTGCGGTATCCAATCTGGGGCCATAGGCACACAAAAAATGAATGGGACAACCCACTGCTAGTTTAGGACTGTCATTGTATTCCATTCTTTGTGCCTAGGATTGCTATAGCGGTTTGTTTCGTTCATATCTGGCGATTCAGGAAGATTGAAGGAAAATGAACTTCTACAGTCTTGAGATGAGGGCTAAACTAGAGATGATGTTAAGGTTAGTCCTGTTAGTCTGTTAAATGTCCAGTGGAGGGAAGGTCAGATGGCAATGGATAGATACCATGTGAGTGTGACTTTGCCCCTTTGAAGTGGAGGGAAGGTCAGATGGCAATGGATACCATGTGAGTGTGACTTTGACCCTTTGCCCCTGCCATAACCCTAACCCACTCTGCATATCAGAGGAGAGAAGATTCTGCTTAGAAGCACAGCGGTGGCAAATGGTTAGAGTCCCAGTTCAATGATCCTCATTCAGTTCATCCCACGACCACACTCCTGGCTATTTAATGCTTTAAAAACTTATACATGCTGCATCAGACTGTGTGAGTACTGACTAACTTCATGTCTAGCCGCTGGTTCTTAAGAGGAAGGGAAGAAGTAGCTCAGGGCTTGCACGACCTGCTCAGAAGTACCACAGTCAAGAAGGATTATCTCCCCATATGAATATTTGTCCTTGTTAAAGGAAGGGGTTGCTCCTTCTTCAGCTTAACCCTGGCTGAATCAGCATGGCCCTAGAAGGCCCTAGTGCTTCTGAACTTGGAGTTCAGCTTGGAGTGATCGGGAATTAGAAACGGGTGGTGCCAGTTTGCATGTCCCACTGCCAGAAATCCTATGAAATGGAGCACCAATAGTGTTATAGGGATATATACAGTATTCATTTTCTGATGACATTCCAGCATTCTAGATGGAGGGGCATAATCAAGGTTTCCTGTAACTAAACAGTGTTTTTTTTTTAAAGGAAGAGAGAATGAGAATGAGAGAGACTGATGCTACAGTTGTTTGTATAGCAAAAAAGAGAATAACAGCAAATATTCTGATTGACTGGTGCTGCATAGTTTAGACATGCAGGCAGGACTTGACCTTAAGGATCAGCGAGATCAGTCTCCTGCTGAGGGCCCACCCATCATAGGGATGCCTATAAGAGACCCCCTTGGCCATTCCAACTTGTTTGTTCAGACAACCCTTCTCTGGCCTAGAAAAAGGATGGAACAAACAAGGAAGCAAAGGGTGGTGTTGAGAAGGAATAAGGCCAAGAAGATAGATAGGTAACAGAGAGGAAAAGGAGAAGCTGCTGCCGCCAGTGGCCGCAAAGGAAGCAGGTTCACTGAGAGAGAGAGGCTGCTGAGGGCCTTTTGCCCAAGAGCCCTCCTGAAATCTAGCCCTTGACCCTACTTCTAGAAAGGCTTGTTCTTTTCTCGATTGATCCTAAGTGCATCCACTGTGTTACTGCAGTTGCAACCCATCAGGAGCTTCGGAACCCTTCCGGGCAAGCATGGGTGGTTGGTAAGAAGCCTCTCCATGCAATACAATTCCTTTTCCCAGAGTTTCGTGAGGTCAGTATGTACATTCAGCAAAATCAAGAGGTAAATCTTTTGCTGGTCTGCTCCATTTTTAGGAAGGGTTGGAGAATGCAGTGTTTTTGTTTTGTTTTTGAGCACTCTCTCCATCAGAAGCAAAACTCTCTTTAAAAAGAAGACCAGCCTGTTAAGGACGGATGATGTTCAGCCTACTCTGTTCCGAAAAGGCTAGTTTTGGGAGCGCAGGAGTTTTGAAATTATGGGGCAGCGTTGGACATCACAATTGCAGGCCAACTTAGTACAATCTGGAAGGGCTTTCCCTCTTGATTCTATTACTGAATGTATCACCTGGTCCTTGTTTTCAAGTATCTACACTTAAGACCACAGCCTTAGGAACTTATTTATTTATTTATTTTATTTATATCCCGCCTCCTCCCCACAAGTTGCCTTGACCCAGTGGTCCTCTTTTCTGCACGGTGACATCCTGAGATATTTGGATCAGCTGCTCTGGGCAGGCAACCTGCCATGGGATATCATTCCCTACGGAAGAGGAAACGCACACCCTCACTCTGCTGGCCGTGCATGAAACCAGGCATTCTACAAAGATGCTCCATCAAGCTAAAGAGAAAGACAATCAGGCCCATTTCTTCATGCGCACAGGGTCGCACATGCAGAAGCAGACCCAGAGTGCATCCACATTTGAATGCAGCTCCATATCAAAGTACCATGTATAATGCTCGTTAAGCAAAGTGCATGGACCTCTCTCCACTGAATCAGTGCCTGCAAACTATAAAAACACGTGCTAAGGTACTGACCACCAGGTAAACATATCTTGGCCATGCCACAATGTTTTTTATCGCCCCCTAAGAAAAAAACAAACAAGTATATGCTTTTCTGATGTGGCCTATCTACACTAAGATGGATCCTTCAGATTTGCTGCTCCATCTCTAAAGTATCCTAGAGTAATGATGCTATATCCTATGGGGTGGAGTGGGGCAAATTATGTAATAAAAAGAAACGTGGAGCATAACCCTTGTCAAATATAATGCAGTATTCAAGAGCAAAGCTTCTTCCTGCTTACCAAAGTTACTGCATTATTCTGGAGCAATATAATATTGTGCCACCTTGTGAAGTTAGGTGAAATTAGCTTTTGCCTTCCATGAAAATAAAATGAATGATGCCATGGTGTTCAGCAACCTTAGCACCCTAACTATGCACCCTTTTCAAAGAACATTAGGTCGATGCTTGCTCCTTTAAATGCTATCTCTGTCAAGAACAGAGTGCTCTTTGCTAGGTTGATTAGTGACATCTAGAACATACGCTGTTTCAGGATGTGCCTCTGCATGTCTGGAATTATCTGGAATGAGTACTAGTACTCTTCATGCAATATACCCATGGTCACCAGCTACCCAGTTGTAATATTTATGATACGATGAGTGGGTGTCTCGTGGAATCATCGTTCTGAAATATATAGCATTTTTAAAATAATAGCAGTAGCTTCAGAATGGTTTTAAGCAGAGTTTTCTGTTCCGTTAGTATTGTGCAGAGCAATGTTTTCAAAGTTCCAAAGGAGCAGATTTCAGCCTTGCATCTGAAAAGGTTTCTTTGCTGAATAGATAGAGGAAGGAATACCCTCAAAGGAGGGCAGCCCGGGTAGATGTGCATGCTTACTCTGAGTATGGAGTCTCAGCAGCGGATGTCAGCACAAGCTATGAATGCTTCCAAAACAGCAGTGCTGTGGAAGTTACCCACTCCTGGTGGAAGGTGGGTTGGGCAGAAATAGGCCAGATTCGTGAAGCATGCAGAGGCGCACTGGACTGTCTCTTTTGCAGCTGGGTTAGTTAGGCTTCCAGGAAGGTATAATTATTCAGTTCCTTTCTTTCTTGATACCTGTTCATGTGCTCCTGGACACAATCTAGAGTTTCAGAAGTGCGGAGGGATTTCTCAAAACCAAGGAAAGATCAGCTGTGTCCCGAGCAATTTGATTCTTCAGTGGCAAGAGTATTTCGCCCCACACGAGTCACAGTGTTCCTGGTATTTGATGTGGTCTTCTTTTTCTCTAATCACCCTTGATGGTGATGCACTGATGTTAGAGAGATGTCTTGTCCCCTAAGGCCCGCCCCTGGCCAATCTTTACTTCATGACACCCACCAGCGAGCACCTTGAGATGTTCCACTTCCTATAGATGATGGGAACGATTATTACCTGTGCCCGCTTTTAAAAAAAATCTCCTCCTCAGCATTTTCTTCTAGTCCCTGGTCGTCTCAAATGGAGGGGGGGGCAGATCTGTACTAGCTCCCCCACCCCAAAGTTACAGCCATGTTTATCAGAGGCTTGAACACTCCTAGAATATGAAGGAGTCCATGAGAACATGAGAGCCTGCTTTACAGAAACGAGAAAACAAAGCTGACTATGACATAGTGCAGAAGACCTCCAGAGACGTATCTGAGACAAAGGAGGAAAGATGGAAGTAACTTCAGTCTTGATTAGAGGCAAGAGGGCAAATACGACATGGATGATGGCCAGCTCTTTCCTGCTAGCCAATATCCTATCCCATTAGGCCCTGCCCACCCGAGCCCACTATCCATTCTTCAAAGATTGCAGTGGCAGATCTGTTCCCCAGGGTTCATATTGTCCAGTGTCATAATAAGGTCCCCTCAACACATATTCCCACTCCCAAACTCTCATTTCTCTTACCCATTGACACATCTGCTATTTCTTCAGTCACATTGTGTTCTGTTTTTTAAAAAGGCGTGTATGTGTATATATATGTGTGTGTATGTGTGTGTGTACATATCTGTATATAGATATGTTGTACATACGTTCACTGTGATAGCATTTTGTACCTATATACAAATGAA